ACGCACAGCAATAACCGGATCCTCGTTGGACGACAGGATCGCGACGTCATCGGCGTAGGTAGCTATAGTGGTTTCCTGGGATGTCTGCAGGTCGCATGTGAATAAGTTATACAACACCGGTTCCAGGATGCTTCCCTGCGGCACGCCCGATCCGATCGGATACAGCTGTGCTACTTCACAATGTAATAACAAAGAATATTGCAAAATTGTAGTACAGTGGTGTGCAGCGTTCGCTGTGCGAGGCGTTCGTTATGCGAGGCACCACTGTATATTAACAAGCTACCGTTAAGATGGCAAAACTGTATTGATGATTTAGGCACATACTTTGGTTAATGATACTATTAATTGTTTGAGATATAATAAATCAAACATTCAGTTGTAAATAGAAATTATATCAAAATTTCTTTTTTTTTTACTTCTATTATTAATTCATCATCAAATATTTTTTAATCAAATATAATTAATACAATTATCATAAAAATGTATACAAAAAAAAAATACTATTTTTGAATCAATAAAAACAGAAATAAAATTAATTTATATAAAATAACTTGAACAAAAAGTAAATTATAATATATTTATTTTCCGTTTAATACCTAAATATTTACAATTTGCACAGAAAACATTCGTATACATTATCAGCATCCTCGCAGGTGTTAATTTTACGATCTTCGGGCAAACACATCTTCATCGCTTTTTCAGCGTGCTCCTGAAAAATCGGATCGGCGAAGAAATTTCTTACAATTTCAACTTTGTACCGATTTTCACTATCCAACGCATTGAATTTATGTATTACACATAACGTTACGCAGTTTAGTTCTTCGTGGGTTGGATAATTGTCGATTTGATCGAGTCTCGTCAAGTATTTGAAATCCACATTTTCAATCTTTGCGCATTCCTTTCTGATTTGTCTCACTTGCGGCTCATATTCAGAAGAAAAATTCTACAAAAAAATACAATTTACTTATATACATTATTTTTAATATCTCGTAAGCAGTCACCAGTTGCAATGCTTGAACGTTGAAGACAAGCACAACGAGTAATACAACAGACGTCTTCATCTTTTAACGAAATAATTAAGAACATTTAGATTCGGTTTCCTTTTATTAGCAAAATAATTTTAAAAAAATACAGCAAGTTTATTCGAATGTTGTTTTCTAGCACCAAACAGGTCTTTTATTTAGACTTAAGTTTTTGTTAATTAAGTACTACTTTTATTAATATGTCAAGCCAAAATGAATAAATTTAAGTTACACTGTCTCTAAAACATAGGGTCTAGTATATTGTGCATTAATCTTAAATTGCTTCAAAGTTATCTATAGTATAATTAGTTTATGTAAACGTATGAAAAATAGAAATAAATAAATTTTTAGTAAATGGAAGGATGACAAATAAATGCAATACGTGTATTATAAAAAGAAGACGGAAAGAAGATTTATTCAGAAAGTAACAACATGAGGTCAAGTCTAGCAGTAATAATTCTTCTCGTAGCTTTGGCCTGTGCCGAAAAATTGGTATTATCATAATAAATTTAGTTCTATTTCAGTAATCAAATATTGTTCACTTTTTAGAAATTTTCGTCATCTTTCAAAACTATAATCACACAGCATATAGAAAGGAATGCGCCGAAGAGGAAAATATCAATCCCATTTACTTGACAAAACTTGACGATATCAATGATCTACCGAGCCGCAGAAATCTCAAATGCCATTCGCTCTGCATGATCAAAACATGCAATGATGCCTACAACCTTCAGCGCTGTCTCCTAAAAAATGTCTGAGCTTTATAACTTTAACGCATCAGAAGTATCATAGTATAATTTTTTTTTTTCTTAAAACGGCAATTAATATAATAGCAGTTCTTAAAAAAAAACAATTAATAAAAGTAATAATTTATGCTAAAAAATGTCCTTTTTTATTAATTGCATTTACTTATTAATAATATAAACAAATCAAGAAACTACTTTCAAAACTTTTTTTTTGCATTCGGTAGAAATATATACAATTCGAAGTGTAAAATCATTATGCATTCGCATAAAGTGAATCATGAAGACTTCTATACTACACCTCGCCGTTTTAGTTGTATTTTCTCAAGCACAAAGATTGGTAAAACTATTAATTAGTGTAGAATTACATTGATAATAATCATTTATTTTAAGAAATATGATCAAAATTACTTAGAAGATATAGCCTCAGTAAGAAGAGAATGTGGTGAATTGGCGAACGTGGATCCAAAGTATATTTCCCGTCTCGATGCAGGGAACGAAAGTTTTCCAACATACGAAGAATTGAAGTGCCATTCATTGTGTGTACTTCAAAAATTGCATCTTCTGAATAACGAGCAGATAGTGGACGTTCCACAGTTTAAAATAATAATCAGTGATCCTATCTTACAGAAGAAATTTTTGGTAGCATATGATAAATGCATGACTTCGGAGAAGGTTGTCACAACATGCGAGATCGCTTACAATATACAAAAATGTATTGTCGAAGACATCCGAAATAGTTTCTAAAACTATTTTACTGTTATACTTATAAATAAATATATAAAACTAGTCAAGTAGTAGAAATACACATTTTCAATATATGTGACATCGTCTCTCATTAGTCTCACTTTCATATGCATCTTTTAAATCTATTCAATCTATTATAGTTTCCGCAATTTATACGCAAATTACAGCCAATTAAAAAAACGCAGTATTGTATGAATACTTATTACATTCCCCAAATATCTAGCTTTCATATGCATCTTTTGTGTGCATTTAATGTGTTTTTTTAACCTTAATATTTGCTTTATTAATCTTTAACGAACCAATTGGAAAAAATATAATAATACATGAATACTCGCTACATTCCCCAAACATCCAGCTTTTATATGCATCTATTGAATTCATTCATTATAACATCACATGACAAGGTCATCTTTTATTCCAAAATCATTGATAAATTTGCAGCAATTTTAATCGAATGTTGTTTTTTATGAGCACCAAACATGTCTTTTAATAGTATATTATATAAACAAACTACTTTCAAAACTTTTTATTGCAATCAATTGAAATAAATACAATTCCGAAGTGTAAATTCATAAGCATTTGCTTAAAGTGAATCATGAAGACGTGTATACTATTCCTTGTCGTTTTAGTTGTATTTTCTCAAGCACAAAGATTGGTAAAACTATTAACTAATATAGAATTATTTATTGAGAATAATCATTTACTTTTAGAAATATAATCAAAATTACTTAGAGGATATAGCCTATGTAAGAAGAGAATGTAGTGAATTGGCGAACGTGGATCCAAAGTATATTTCCCGTCTGGATGCAGGGAACGAAAGTTTTCCAACCTTCGACGAATTGAAGTGCCACTCGTTGTGTGTGCTTCATAAACTGCAACTTCTGAACAACGAACATAAAGTGGATATTCCGCGCTTTAAAATATTTATCAATAATCCAATCTTACAGAAGAAATTTTTGGTATCATATGATAATTGCATGGCTTCTGAGTGGTTCATCACAACGTGCGAGATCGCTCACAATCTGCATAAATGTATTGTCGAAGACATTCGACGTAGTTTCTAAATGTATGTGCAAATATTCAATAAATTATTTTATAAAATTGCTTTAAACGTTAATTGAAAATAATGTAAATAACTACTCAAGTTCAAAAGTTTCCTACAAAACTATGAATAATATTTTCAATACTTTATAAATAAAAATACTGATTGTATTTGTTTTTTACTAATTTGAAAATTCTAAACTTTACTCAATTTAAAATAGACCGATAGTTTAATATACAATAGATACTGAAAAAAAAGATGTATATTCTATTTTAGTTCCACAAATGTATTATTTATTTGCAACAAAATATATAAATCAAATTTTTACATCTTTCTCGACTATATCTATATGAAGATCTTCGTATATTTGTTTATTCCTGTCGAACCATGGAGACCTAATAATATTTCTTAGGCATTTTGATTGGAACCTTTGTATAATTTGTATGTTCAATTTACTGGCTTCACTCTACAATTGGATACCATACGTCCATATTGGTTTCAGAAATACTTTGTATATAAGTAATTTATTTTCCACTGATAATTCCGACCTTATCCCTAGAAGCCAGTAGAGTTTTCTAAACTTTATTTCTAATTGCTCGCTCTTAGCCTGAATGTGATCTCTCCAGGTGAGTCTTCTGTTTAGATGCATGCAATTGCCTTTTGTTGCTTTGGGCAGATCTTGCCCATTAAGTCTTACAGTTGGGCAGGAGTCTTTCTTTAGCGTGAATGTGATATGCACCAATTTCATTTAGTTAACTGCTATTCTCCATTTTTTAAGCCATTGTTGTAGCTTATCTAAATTCTGCTGTAAATATTCAGATGCTACTGCTGGATTTTCATCTGGTGCCAAGATCGCTGTCTCATCAGCGAATGTTGCAATCGTAGAACCTTTGATTATATTGGATATAAATCGGTGTATTCTATTTTTACCTGTAAGATTCTATTATCGAGGTATGATTTTTTTATTTTAAAATAATTATATGGCAAGTTCTTCTTTATTTTGTATAGAAGTCCGAGATGCCAAACTTTGTCAAAAGCTTGCAATATGTCTAAAAATGCAGCTGAGCAGTATCTTTTACTTTCCAGGTCTTGGTACTATTCTGTTTACTTGCTCTATTGTGCCATGTTTGCAACGAAAGCCAAACTGATGGTCTGGTATCAGCTTAATTGACGCTATAATAGGTTGTAATCGAATAGCAAGAAGTTTTCGAAAACTTATGGGTCTGTACGTTTGCAACGAAAGCCAAACTGATGATCTGGTATCAGCTTGTTTGACGCTGTATGTAGTTTTTAAATGTATGTGCAAAATTGAATTAAACAATAATTGAAATCATTTTTTTTTACAAAGAATGAAAATAATTAGCCAAGTTCAAAAGTTTCCTATAAAAATATTATTAAAATTTTCAACACTTTATACTAATTTGAAAATTCGAAACTTTACTCAATTTAAAGTAGCCCAAAAGTTTATTATTTGGACAAAGTTCAATAAACAACAGATACTGAAAAAAATGTTGAATATTCTATATTAGTACTACAAAAGTATTATTTACTTGCAACGAAATGTATAAATCACTTTTTTTTATATGTTTTTAAGAACGCAAAGATGAGCATTGTATGCTTTCTCGCAGGTATCAAATTTCTTATCTTCTGGTTGGCATTTTTCCAAAGTGACGAGAGTATTCTTCAAAGTATTTTCTTTGAATATCGGATTGAGTTCCTCCATTTTGAGAGTGTGGTCATCCTTCAATATATTGAACTTATTCATCATACATAAACTGTGGCATTTAACTTCTTCGAAGGTCGGGTAACCGTCGATGCTGTCTAAATACACCAACTGCTTTACATCTACTTTCTCGGTATTGGCGCATTCGAGCCTTGCATCAGCAATTTTTTGAATAAATTCCGGCGAGTATAACTAAAAAAAAACACAAATCGCATAAACAAAAATTATGTTTTAAATAATATTTCACTCACAATTTTTTCGCTCTGAGCTAAACCCACGAAAAGGAGAACTACTACAATAACTTTCATGATGCTCTTCTTCTGATTTTGGAAAATTGACTGTCTCTCTACATCAGGAGAATTTATATTTAAAGCAAAAACAATTATCAGATGCAATTTTATTATTATTATGAAGCTGTGTAATTATCATACTGGTTTTACAAAAAAAATAATCGCAACCAGTGCGTAATCTCTCTAATGATGTTATTAAAGTATTATTTCTTCTTTGGTTACATAGAAACGTTGTAAATATTATTTATTTTTATATAGCAATCATCGTGTATAATTAATAATAAATAAATATAAATCTTTTTTAAATAATCTAATTATAAACGATTATTAACGACTTCCAGTGAGAATGAAAGCTGAACTTTGACCACAAAGTTATGCATTTATAATCCAATCTTACAGAAAAAAAATCTAGTATCATATGATAATTGCATGGTTTCTGAGTGGTTTGTCACAACGTGCGAGATCGCTCACAATCTGCATAAATGTATTGTCGAAGATATTAGATGTAGTTTATAAATATGTACAAATATTGAATCCAAAAATAAATTATTTTATAAAATTGCTTTAAACAATAATTGAAATCAATAATAATAATACTAATATTTATTAGTTACAATGCAACCAAAGGGCTATCGACTTAAGTCTTTCCGCCCAGAGACACGAAAAACATAAATTGTCACAATAAAAAATGCATTCCTAAAAAAAGAAAGTAAATGTGAAAAACATGAAATTATAAATTATGCCAAATAAAAGTAAATCTTCTCAAAATTAAACAAATAAAAATATATATTCTGAAGCATCATTCTGCTGAAAAATGATAAAATTCATTCGGACATGGTCCCTTCCATAATGAAAGTGCCGGCCGTCCCCTGATTCACATCCGTAGGAGACTCCCGCTTCTGATCATCCACATCGAACATTAAAACTAATTGAATTCATTTTTAATAAAGAATGTAAATAACTACCGAAGGTCAAAAGTTTCCTATAAAAATATGAATAAAATTTACTATTATTCTGAAAATTTATATTTTATTATTATTTCAAAATTTACATAATTTACATAATTAAATGCAAAATATGTGCAATGTTTATGTGTGCCTTGAATTAGCAGCAAAAATTTCTGGATTTTTTTATGTTTATTATCTGGAAATTTAATATAAATCCATTTTAAAATGGATCCTAAATTAACAGCTGTAAACAAAATTATACAAAAAATACGCTCATTAATATTTTGAGAAAAGTTTCAGATGGATCTTAAATCGACCAAGTAACGAATAAAATTGTGTAAAACCAAACAAATTCCATTAAATTCCCAACAACTGAGACTCCACAACGACAACACCAGACAATATTCCACTGTGTCCAGAATTCCATCCGTGGGATACGACAATGTTTTCAATACTTTTAAAAATATTGATTATATTTTTTGTAATATTTTTCTTTTTATTAATTTGAAAATTCTAAACTTTACTCATTTTAAAGTAGAATAAAAGTTTAATATTAGTGGACAAAGTTCAGTATATATAAAAGTATCATTTATTTGCAACAAAATTTAGAAATCAATTTTTTATGTTTTTAAGAACGCAAAGATGAACGAAAGATTTCGCAGGTATCTAATTTTTTGTCTTCTGGTAGGCATTTGTCCAAAGTGACAAGAATATTGTTCGAAGTATTGTTTTTGAATATTGGTTTAAGTTCCTCCATATTGAGAGTATGGTCATCGTTCAATGTTTTGAACTTATTGAACATAAACTGTGACATTTTACCTCTTTGAAAGTCGGAAAATCGACGATTATGAATTAATTTAATGAAAAAAAATAATTGAAACGAAATTAACCGTAATTTAAATTTTGTTTCGGTTTCGATTTTTCAATTTACAGTTACGGTTCAGTGAAAAATTCCTGTTAATTTACGGTTTTCGGTTCGGTTCCGGTTTGATTCTCTCTTTTAAAGTTGACCGAATATTAGTGGACAAAGTTCAATATACAATAGATACTGAATAAAACTTGTATATTCAGAATTAATTCTACAAAAGTATTATTTATTTGCAATAAAATATATTGTCGTGTCCCGGGATGGAATATCTCTGGACACTGTGGAATACTTTGTAGTATTGTCGATCATCATCATCATTTATTTATAAAATTTAAATAATACATATTATAGGGTGTGAAACAAAAAATGCAGACTGTTATGGGCTTTAGCCTCTTTCAGCCTCTTAATTACAGAAAGTTTTACAAAACAAACAAAAAAAAAAAAAAAAA